AAATGTTCCCTTTGAGCTTCCAATCATTAGGCCAGCCGAAGTGAAGGCAAGCCCATTGACAAGTGAGAATGGTAATAATTTATTTTCTATTGATGGGTTGTGACAAATCATGTCGGAGCAGTGGCTGCATACTGTGGGGCTCCGCTAAGGAAGACTGTGATGGGCAAAGATGAAACCCTTCACAGCTCATTTAGTCCAAATGTAGCCACCTGGGTGGTGAATCGGTTCAACATCCCAGCCCAGGCATTCCAGCACAAAATTAGATTGCTAACAGGAAGGCCATATAGGGGTTCCTATAAGGCATTAATCAACAGGGTTGAGCTGTCAAAATGCAGAGTCTGAAATTAAGAAACACCAAAAGGATTTGAAAATGTGGCATTGCTGTCAAAAAAATCAAGAATGTGATGCCTACTGTAGGAGTCCAGCCACCATTAAGAAAGCAGAGAAGAAAGATGAATTATAAAGGGGGTAAAGAGAGGCATTACTCCTGTGGACATTTTTCCTAAGAGTTTTACATATGTTAATTAGTAAAAGCAGCATGAAGGTTTCTGTAAGCACGAGCATACTCCTTTTCACAGTAACACCGACAGGGCAAATTATATGTGTCTTCCTTACCGCCCCACGTCACAGTTCATCTCTTATTTAAATTTCTCTTCTACCTGAACCTGCTGATAAGCAGAGCATTTGATGTCTCGTGCTGTTTCTGAATACAGGGGCTTCAAAGGCGGCGGAATCCTTGGGCTTGCACAGCCTGTTCTCTGAACATCCTTTCTGGTAGAAGAGATGTCTTGCATTGGAGGGTGTGGACTGTTCATATGTGTGTGTGTGTGTTTGTGTGTATGTGTGTGTGTGAGAGAGAGAGAGAGAGAGATTAAATTTTACCAATATTCTTTTCAGACTTCATTATCTATTTTTATGCTAGAAAAAGTATTTAGTGCCATAAACAAAGCCAGACATGCAGGGTTTCTGAAACGAATCAAATTGTCGCTGCCCCCCAAAAAGGAAAGGTTCTAATACCTACAAGTATATTCTAAATCCTGAAGAATTGCTTTTCAAACCCCACATGGGTGTTTCTCAAAGTGTGGTCCAAAGTGCACACACAGACACACGTCAGCCCTAATGCAGCCACATCTCTGGGCTGGGCCTGGGAAATGGAATTCTAATAGGATCCCTAGGTGATTCTGAACAGATAGTAAAACAGGAAAACCACTTTTTCTTACATGAATAAGCCCCAGTCTGTGTTCAAGTATAAAGTTTTTTCTACCACTGTCTAATGCATCTCACCCTTGGACAAACTGTGTTCTATTTGTTCGTAAACACTCTAAGACTTCCACATTTCCTCTGACCTGGCTATACCCTTCATATGCCCCAGCCCCACCTTTCTTCTCCTTGAGATTCAATTCAAATGCTCCTTCCTACAGGAAGCCTTCTCCGTTACTTCCAGCTAGATGTGAATATTCTGGCCCTCTGCTATCCTAGCCTTCTTGATTGTACTTTTAATAGCACCCCCACCTTCAGCCTTCTACTGCAGTTACCTGCTCACATGCTTTGTCTCCCAGTTACTAGCTTATTCACTCCGTGAGGTCATGTCTTGTATGTCTGTTTAGACCTCATACCACCAAACTCACTGCGCTGTGCTGTATGTACAGTAAATGTCTATAGAATTGAACTGTTGAGTAATCAGTGTTAGTTAATCCAAACCCACACTTTTATACATTTAAGTCATTCACACAGCTAAGTGTTCTCTCTTACTGTGTGCTCAGAATTCTTATTAGAATCTTGGATTGAGTCTCCCTGTAAGCAAAAATATATGAGGTCAGCTATTTTTTGTTTGTTTTACTTAACTGTTGTTCGTCTGTGAAATATTACTCTGCTTTAGATTTTCTATATCAGCTTTAATGATATTTTCCCTGGAAAAAAATATTTATTATTTTAAGTCCTTGGCTGAAACAGATATATTAAGTATATTAATTATGCTGGAAAATAAATTATACTACAGAATATTACTACAAACCATTTGTTTTGTAAATATTTTAGGTTACTCATGTGTGTTTTTTAAATCAGGAACTATATGGCCTTAAATATTTGATAGCTTTATATGATTAACTAACAGTCAATGGTTATAATTGTTTAACAATGTCTAATTTGATTTAGGACTCATATCATAGACCCTAATACATTATAAAAAAAAATGGGTGCCATGGTTTGGATTTTCATGACCTAAGGATTAAGTTCAGCCTGATTGGACTTTTAAGATTTACTCTCTTAGCGACTTTCAAATATGCATTACAATGTTATTAACTATAGTCACCATGCTGGGCCTCACATGGTAATTGTTTTTAAAACCCCCTTTTTACCTGTAACATTACTGTATGTTTAGGCCCCAAAGAAGTGGAGGGAAAGACTATTTGGAGGATACCTGAGGAATTATACTTGAAAAAATAAAATAATTTAAGCCAACTTGCTCCAAACCTGTTCTAATTGGAAGAATAGTTCTTTATCTGCCTCAGTTTTCAATGACAACACTCTAGGTGGGCAGCAGGAGCTAAGGAGATGCCTCTCAATTTCCTTCAGTGCCAAAGATAATTAGGGCAGACTAGAGTCGAGGCAGAGCTGCTTGGAAAAGTTCTGAAGGTCTGGGAAAACAGGCTTTTAAAAGGAAGGTGAAATGTAAGCTTACCTCATTCTGACACCTTGGGTTGTTTTAGGACTGATGTAAAAAGTGCTTTTGGGAGCACACACTTATTTTGTAAGGTTCCTATTGCAGTTTAATAGTCATCTCAGTGGGTTTTGCTTTAACTCAGTTGATAATTATAATAGAACAGAGAATGATACTGCATTTTTATTTATATTAGAGTTCTTGGCCATGGGTATCTAGGGAGCCCCTAGGTATAACTAAAACCTAATTAGGAGAATAGAACATTGCTGACTCAATTTCTGAATTGGAGAGTAAAAGAAACATAATAATCCCTGATATAAAAACATAAAATCATTTCAAAATAAATAACTGAAAAGGATACTCTGAAATATGCCCTCCACTTCTCCAACCAAAAAGAACAGCAGTGTGGTATTTTCTAAAAGAGAGCCAGATTGATCCTTCGCTAATTCTTCCATTCCATAGGTGTATTTCATAAACTTGTCAACTGGGGACAGCAGGAGTGAAAGGTTAGTCCACAAATGGTTGATGAACAGTAATGAGACTTTACAGAGGAGCCTGAGAGAGTGCGATAGATAAGCACTGAGACAGGGAACAAGATGAAAATCAGCCAGCCCATGGTACAAGTTTTGGGAAACTCATGATGCAGGAATTAAAAGAACTCTTGAAGGATAGGAGTATATGTATTTCAGAGAGGCGTCTTTGAAGAAGCCACTAAGCACAAATAAAGAAAGAAACAGCCTGCCCTTTAGACGGTATCTTGCCTGCCCTAATAGGAGAAAGAAACCAACTCTGACCTATGCATAAAACGTGGGGGAAAAAAAGAACATAACCAAAAGATGGATGAAAAATACATACCTGAAGAGAAGTGGCACAGAGAAATACAGAAGTGTCCAATAAATAATCCTCCAGCGTCTCAAAGAAATCAGACAACATGACTTCTTAAAAACAATCAAAAGAAAGCTAAAAAAGGTGATCCAAGTGGGGAAGGTATTGCTTAGTGATACAGCGCATGCTTAGCATGCATAAGGTCCTGGGTTCAATCCCCAGTACCTCCACTAAAATAAATAAGTAAATAAATAAATAAACAAATAAATACATAACCCTAATTCCATCCACCCACCACCCAAAACAGTGATCCAGTGAAATAACAGAAGATGAACACCGAGCTAGAAACTCAGGAATAAAATGAAAGAGAAACTAGAAATCATTACAGACATAAAAGCCCATTAAAGGCAATAAAAATTAGAATATGTACTCTTGAAAACAAAGTCATGCAGGTCAGAATTGAGAAATAAAAACATGGAGGATAAATCTTACAAATCAAGTTAGGAAAAAGAACAATATAAAAATTATGATAAAGAAGATGATAGATGTGGCAGACAGACAAAGGAAGGAAATCCCACTACCAAAAACTTTCTGTTTCTGAAGAAGATTGACAAATGGAGCAAAAAATGATCTAATATTTAAGAAAGCTTTCCTGAACAAGCATTTGATCTGTATATTGTAAGGGCCCTTTACAGCTGAAAAGAACTTAATACAAAATAATCAATACCAAAACATATGCTAATACAATTTCTGGTATTTAAGGATAAAATTATTTGGGTTTCCTAACTGAGAAAGTCATGTAAAATGGGAAAAAACAGGTTTGTCTAGACTTCTTCAAAGCAACACTAATGACAGAACAGTGGGGCCATGGCTGTAAGTTTCCAATTGCAAAAGTATATGATCTAAGAATTTCACTCATAGGCAGGTTATCTTTCAAACATAAAGACAACATTCTCAAGCAGGTAAGAATTTAGGGATTATAGCACCTGTGCTAATTATTATTAGCAATAAATGAATCAAAATAAAATACCATGTAAGAATACTTAAGATTAAACTGTCATGGAAATCTTGTCATACGGTTCAATGTCATAAATCTTGAGAGTGTAAAACCAATTATATACAAATGAGCCTGCACACATAAATGAACTGTTGAGGATGGAGGAAAAGGGAGGTGGTAGGCTGGTCCACTGATGTGTTAATGCATCCTTTACAGTCAGCTCTCAAAAGATACTGTTTCATGTACTGACTTCAGCCACTTTCTTTCATACTGTTTTCTATATTATACTATATTTAGTTCTTTCATACAATTTTTTTTCATTGAATTTAAAGAAATTTTTAAGGAATTCTAACAACTCAGTGAAGAAACATTTCTCAGAAGTCCAACATTTTTTTCCTTCACTTAATGTTTTTCCTTTAATTTGTTATGTATTATTAAAGCATTTCTGGAATTATCCCATTTAAAAAAAACCTTTTCCTCTGTCTTTGTATGAACACAAATGTCTGGAAAGATACTCACCAAATATTGAAGTTATTTCTGGGTAGTGAGATTTTGAGTGACTATTAACTGCTCTCAGTAGACAAGAACATATAAATAATTTTATGGATGAACAGCTTTAAATATCAAGAAAAACGGATATGAATTAAATGCCCTGAAAACTGGAGTGTCTTTCTGATGCTGTCTTTTGTATATTCTTCCTTTCCCTCCTGAAAAAAAAAAAAGGTGTAATTTATTCAATAGGTGTATGTAGGATGCACACTGTTAATCTTTGGAGGAATTACAAAGGAATCTAAAGAAAAGTTATTTTTCCATAAAGAGCTTACAATTTAATTTGATGGTCTTAAGTTTTTTGCATTTGTCTGAGTGCAAGTGTGATGCTAACTTTTTGTAACAAGGAGTTGCAAAGAATCAATCTGTGATGTTTTGAGGTAGCTCTCTTTTTCCCTCTTCTCATATAATCCACAGCTCTCTTATCCAAGTAAATTGGTAATTTTTTGTTTTGGAATTATTCAAAGTATAAGGCAACCTCTTTGGGAGCTATTTTCATGTGGGCTTGAAAGAGAAAAATGTTGATCCAAACTATTATACCTTAATAATATATTTTAGGGTGTATCTCAAGTCACTGCTTTTGGTTTGACTAAATTAGCAATTATCAAAGAAGTACAAATCTGTCGTATTTGCATAAATCACATCGCCCAATAACAAAAGTGACTCACACTGGCCTAGATTTTGTAAAATAATTTGTTACTGCTCTAAAGAGCCTTTTAAGATGAATCAGTGAAGTTGTTCACCGATTTAGCTAGTTATCCAAATATTTTGTTTATAATCAGCCAGTTTGATCTTTTTTTCCTGAATATACCATCAGGTTTATGGGATTCTGACTGCACGGTTTTAATGAGCTCAACTTTACTTTTCATTATCAGTTTCAGAGTAGAAGCTAAAATTTTGAAGATTATGGTATATCATGATTGTCAAAGCTCCCAGCTTGACATCTTATTTCTTAAAATTCATTTCAAAAGATAAGATAATGGGAGGAATCAGCAGTTACCTGAGTTTATTAGCATAATCTACTTGGGGAGGAGATGAGAAGTTGTATTTAATATGATGGGTAACTTACCACATTTGTACAAATCAGCTAATCAAGTATCTGCTAAACGGGCAGGTTTCCATTGATTGTGAGTACTTGCTTTCTGATCTAGTTTACTTCTTTTTTAAAAGAGTAAATGTAAACATCTGATCACCCTCTAGATAGCTTTACCCAGTATATGTCTTCAGTTTAATTGCAGAATTCAAAATCCTTTCTTAAAATCATGAATTTTTATTTATTAAAATTAATCGTGATATAATTACAAAGATGGTCATTCACAGTGAGGACTATGAACACCTTTTAAGTGGATAATAACAAATTGCTCACTATAGTTGCTTTTGCAACTTTCAGTTTTGTATATTATTTTGTCCTCCAAGGTAAAATGACACAGTAAGCATATTGTATAAAACCCAAGATCATCACTCTTTCACTGCCTATCACCCTGTTTATGCTTAACCAAGCATTTATTTATTAGTTCTTAATGGTAAGGGCTACAAGGTTACTATACCTGAGAGAAAAATCTGTAAGACAGGCTTTCTAATTAATCACTGGGAGGGTTCAGGAAGGTCTAGCTGTTTCTGTAAACTGAAGCATTTGTGCACTCTTTTGCCATTGAGATCATGAAAATGGCAGGCAGTGCTTTATTTCTCTAAGTTTCTGTACTTCCATTAAGAATAATGAACCCTTTACATGTTTCTCTGTGTACACATGGATGCCATCATTAAAACTAGGATCTTTGTTCACCTGAGACCAGATGTGGGGACAGTTCTAAGAAAACAGAACAGTGGTTCCAGCATCTTAGGAATGACACTAAAATGCCACCCATGACACTCTGAATTGAAGACCACCATCTCAGAGCAAGAGGCTCTGAGACAGAGCAATCAAGAGCAACAGACCCTGTTTGGCAGGAGTTACCGTATCCAGGACCATTTGTGACTAGTTAAATGAGCTGGAGCATTGTTCCATATTGGTTAATTTCACTGAGGTCACAAAAACTGCCATGAAATTGGCAGCAGTGCTTCAGGTGAAATCTTAACTAATTGACAGTCTTTCCCACAACTACCCTGGGTCACTGGGTTGCAATAGCAATAGATAAAATGGCACCAACTCTTGCCATATTTACAAGTCTATTTGGGATCCCACACTTATTTCCCCAGTCCTTGGCATCTGCTTTGTTGTATTTCCTGGTGCAGAAGCCTCTGCAGCCAGAGGCAAAAAGCACTGCAGATCTGACAGCTTATTCCTCCTGTCTCTAGCCATGTCCCTGACATTGGCAGAGGTCATCACCTAAGCCACACTGCCGGTATTATTTCTCTCTTAAACACAGTCGTGTTCATTTCTTAAGCCCAGAACACGTAAACAGTACACAGAAATGTGTCCTCTCTGTCTGTTCATGTACCTCAAATGTAGCATCACAGGCCAGGATATCTAATCCTCCACTCATACTCTTGTGAAGTTTTTCTTCTCCCCATCCTTCCCACCCATCTCTCTTCATTCCTACAATCCTTACATTCATGTTTTAGTTGCAAGAGATGCAACAAGCAGTAACTTTTCAGTGTTCTGCAGTTCTGTAGGTGCTAGCCCGCTCCTGGCAATGCTAAGGACGTGACTGTGTGCCCTGCTGCATTTTGTTAAAGGCACCTTCCCCGATGGCTGCTTCTTTCTGTCCTTGTATCTGCCAAAGAAGCTGTGGGTCGCCCTCAGAGCCTCATACACCTGCTTTCTGTACTTCACCCAAAGAGGCTTCCCATTTTAGGTTTTACATTATCATGCTTCCACAAGACACTTTTTTATGCAGATGCTGCTTTAGTTCAATCAAAAAAGAACTCTCTTTAAAAATTCAAAGAAATTAACCATTTAAGGTTCTGATATATATGTTCAAATTCTACATTTCCAGGGAAACAGCAGCACTAAGGAATGATAGAAATGTACTCTTTAAGTTGGAAATACAGCAGGGGAAAACAAATCAAGGAGAGAAGCAGAGCTTCTATAAAAGGGAACAGAAAGACAAGGAATAGAAGTAGATGAGTTGTACTGTATAGGAATTTCTTTTTTTTCTTTGTGGATTGGTTGAGTTTGGTAACTGGTACACTTATAGGTATAACTTCATCTAGTTCACAGGTCAATGGTTATGAGTTTGAGTGCTGGTTCTGTTTTAGCTGGACTGTTGTGTTCTGGTAGAGTAGGTTACAGCATTCTGAAAGCAGCCCTCCCATGAAGATGCAGGTGCTGGCTACAGGTGGTCAGGCTACAGGGCACAGAAAAGTAAGGGGCTCTCAGAGTCCGTGGGCAGATTCCCAACAACATCTTCCACCACTGTAATTTATCCATCAGTAAAACCACTAGGTACTAACACAGCCACATCCTGTTGAAGAAAAGGCTTGAGGAAGAGAGCTATGAATTGATCACTATGGTAACTAAATTTGTCTTGAGGTTCTACAAATACTATTCAGACATTTAAATATTAATTTTATACAACTTTGAATTACATATGACTATAGGATATAGGTGCCTTTATTGTTGATTCTCAAATATTGTCAAATTGTATAAAGTTAGTTTTTAAAAGTTTTGGTAGTACCTTTTGTGTTCTATATTGATAACCTGAAATCATCAAAACCTATATTAGAATTTATTGGATTTTTACTAGAAACCATTGATGCTACATTTATGTATATATTTATTTATGCCTTATTTTGTTTGGAATAGGATTTAAACTAATAGTTATATGTATGCTCCAGATTATAACCCAGATTCTTTTATAGGGAAAAGAAATCAAACTCAGGAATTTAGAAAATTAGTTTAAAGGATTTGGACTCAGTCAACATAGACTAGAAAGATTATTGTTTTGTCCTTAGACAGAAGTGGTTATGAATGTTTTGCCATTTTGCCCCATGCCTTGAGTAAGTCACTTCATCTCTCTTAATTTCAGCATTTTAGTCTCTAATCTGGAGACTATAATGAGACCCCACAGAGTTATCATGAGGATTTGGTGGAATGATGGAGTACAGACAGTACTCCAGTGCCTGACATGTAATATATACTCAGCTAAGATTAGCTAAGGATCCTGATGAATATGTGACCAAAAAATGCAAGACAGAATTGATTAAATGTTATATTTTAGGGTATAGACATTAAACATGAAGGGGTTGAGAGTCACTAAGCCCTCAAGTAATCAGAGAAAACTTTATAGAAATTTAATAAGGGTCTAGAAATACAAGGAGGATTAAGAGAGTGTCTTACTTAGTCTATTTGGGCTGCTGTAAGAAAATACCATAAACTGGATGGCTATTAAACAGCAAACATTTATTTCCGAGTTCTGGAGGCTGAGAATCCTGAGATCATGGCACCAGTAGATTTGGTGTGTGGTGAGAAACCACTTCCTGGTTCACAGGCAGCTGTCTTTTCATTGTGCCCTCACGTTGGGGAAGGAGCAAGGGAGTTCGCAGGGGTCTCTTTTATAAGGGGCACTAATCTCATTCATGAGGGCTTTGCCCTTATGACCCAATTGCCTCCCACAGGTCCCACCTCCAAATACCATCACACTGGGGAGTAGGTTTCAGTATGAATTTGGGGGTTATGCAACATTCAGTCTATAGCAGGGAGTGAGAAGATGAAATCTTGTTAGGTGAAAGAAAAGGAGCAAGAAACAGAGGCATGATGAGCAACAGCATGGCAGGAGGCAAGAGAAGAGGATGCCAGTCAGGTCCAGGTCATCCCACCACGCCTGACAGTGACTGGAGAGGTTGGCAGGAGACTGGGTTTGGAGAAAGACGGTTGGCTTCACTATGGGTTTCTAAGGTTTGAGGTAATATGATGTCTGAGTAAGGATACACCTCACACTGTAGGAGATGGGGTTGGGCATTCTGGAGAGGCTGTGGATTTGGAGGACATCACCTCATAGTGATAGTTAAACCCAGTGAGCTCTCAGTGACAGGAGAGAGAGCAGACCAGGGACTGAATTTGTACAGGATACAATCCAGTTATAGGGTAAGAAGCAGAAGAAGCTCAATCAAAAGTAAACCCACCAAGAGGGGTGGTCAGAATAATAGGAGGAAAGCTAGAATAGTGGTGTGGAGGCCAAAAAAAAAAAAGATGGCTTTCAGCAAGAGAGAGTAGCTG